GTACAAAGCACACCAGGTCCGGACCACTTTTGGCAGATGTCGAAAAAGTGCACGGCGTTGTGGCGCGAAGCACATTTCGAAGTCAAAATGTACAAAGCACACCAGCTCCAGACCACTTTTGGAAGTTGAGATGTCGAAAAAGTGCACGGCGTTGTGGCGCGAAGCACATTTCGAAATCAAAATGTTAAAAGCACCGCATGCTCGGACCACTTTTGGAGGTTCAGATGTTGTTTCGCGTGGCAGGCGCACGGGATTGTGCACCTTGTCAAAATATGTCAAAAGTGAGCAAAACGTGAGGGTTTTGTAGCATGTCCAAAAACGATGGCAGGTTAGGAGGTCTGGGCGCTGATTTCCTGAGAGGGGTTGCATTTTGGAGCAGCAGATCTTCAGGTTTGCTCAGATGATTTTGCGTGACAGGTGCAGCACTTCATATGACCTGGCATCACTTTTTCGTGGAGGCGCAGTACTTTAGACAGGTGGAGTGGAAAAATCACAAAACGCATTGGTACGAGGCCGTGCAGCTCTGCACTCAGCTTTCCATTTTTGAAGGAAGTCTCGCAGAATTGCTTCGTTTTTGATGTTGTCAATTGCCAACTTTGAAAAATGAGGAAGTCTCGCAGAATTGCTTCGTTTTTGACGTTGTCAAGTTCAAAAATTGAGGAAGTCTCGCAGAATTGCTGCGCTTTTGATGTTGTCAAGTTCAAAAACTGAGGAAGTCTCGCAGGCTAGCTTCGTTTTCAAGCGTGCAGACAGACAGACAGGCAGGCAGACAGACAGACAGACAGACAGATAGATCGAGAGATAGATAGGTAATTAGATGAAAGAGAGAGCGCGCGAGAGAGAGAGAGAGAGAGAGCGAGAGCGAGAGCGAGAGATATAGATAGATAGATGAATAGATAGATAGATGGATAGATACATAGATAGATAGATAGGTCGGTAGGTAGGTAGGTAGGTAGGTAGATAGTCAGAGAGAGAGAGAGAAAGAGAGAAAGAGAGAAAGAGAGGAGACCTCAACAATCTTTCGGTTCATCAGTGGATTCGCTCCGCCATCCGTGAGTCACAACAGCCAACCTCTCCTATAGGCTTTATATTTTTGAAACTTCCGCCACCGCCTTGTGCGGTACTACGGGTACAGACAACCAAATCAAGGACTAAACATTGAAATGCTCATAAATACTGCACACATAGATTCAAATGGTCGTATATTGATACAATTTTATACATACACCGCATTTGCAGCACTTTGTTGTGTTTTGACTTGCCCGCTGTGCAATTCAGCGCTGTCCGAACAGTATTTGTCGACATGCCAGAAGGGCAGGCAGGAGATGCCCGGCACCGAAAGATCGCCCTGGATTGTTTGACGGTTAAACTCTGGCAATATGATTTGTGGACAGGGCGATTGAACAAGATTTCCAATGATTTCCAGATCAACAAGTCACCTCAACATGATGTTGTCAACATGACTCAAAATTGTCAAATAAATCATGCTCGCCTTGCCCGTGAAGCTGCCCGTTTGCAGTGAGATGAAAAGTAGATTATGGTACAGCCAGTTTTGTGGACAGTGTATTTATTGCAGTGATTAAGCAGTGCTGGAGCGTGGGCGACTGGTCGAGGGTGGCTTTATTTATGATTGATGATATTTTATGACAATTTATTAGCAGGCATTCATGCTGCAAGAAGTCACAAGAAGCGCATTCTAGTTTCGTGACCCCAAAACACGAATGAATTGTCCATGTTTGGCTTTTCAAATGACTTGCCGTCCGCCTCCAGTATGCATGTTGCAAGTGAATGAAGCGACAGTGCAAGACACTTGAAGTGCAGGATGTGCAGCACATTTTCGCAAGTGCGATCAGAGATGCAACTGGCTTGATGGCCTTCATGGCCTTTGCTGTTTCGTGTTGCGCATTCTACATTGGTGTACAGTGCATGTGCAAGATAAAGGTGCATGCGCATGGCCGTCGGGATGGACGGCATGTAAGCTTCAGGCATGATTTGAGGGTTGTTGCTCCCAGTGCTACCAGTGCTCCGAGCAGCATTCGGGCACAAGGCTGTATGGGGTTTTTAAGGATGTGGCAGTGGTGCGCAGCTCACACATGCTGATGCTCCTGGCTTCGTCCATGCAACCCCCATTTTGCAAGAGCGGCAGGCCTTCCCCTGCTAAAATGCTAAGCTTGGTCGGAATTTCTCGTTCAAGCCGCTGTTTGAGGCGTGCTTTGGTCCGTAGCCATGGCTCAGATTTGCGACGAACTTGGCACCAGACAGCGTGCATGAGCCAAGCTCTGAAAAGGCAGACACGGTTGAGAGTGGATCAGCGGGCCTCGTAGTTCAAAAATGCGCTTGCTCTGCCGCCATTCTGATTCCTGCTCGGAACAGGTCGCCTAGTGGGTAAAAGCAGTAGACTCGACATACCTAAAAGACCTAAGCAATCCTAAACTTCCAGGTTATTTGCTCACTGACGTTGTAGGACGTGGTACTTGTTGGCCTTCATTGCTCCCTCTGCCGTGCTAGCCTCAGACGCGCAGACACAGGTGCATACAAACATACAGATGCATCTCTGGGATTCTCTGGGCCTCCAGTGGGACAGAGTACTTCGTGCGCATACATTTACACACATCCACACAAGTTCGAAAATTGTTCTATCAATCAATCAATCAATCTATCTATCAATCAATCTATCTATCTATCTATCCATCCATCCATCGATCTATCTATCCATCCATCCATCCATCCATCCATCCATCCACTGTATCCATCTATCCATCTATATATATATATATATAGATATCTATTTCTAAATATACTATTTGTTATATGGTTACATCATGTTATATCCGATTATATCCACATATCCATGGTCGGAGGGATGGCAGCGGAGCGAGCGAGCGAGCGAGCGAGAGAGAGAGAGAGAGAGAGAGAGGGAGAGAGAGAGGGCGCGAGCGACTTTAGAGAGAGAGAGATAGAGAGAGAGAGAGAGAGGGACTTCTCTCACGCCCTTTCTCGCGGAGAGAGGGGGCGCTCTCGCGCTCTCTCGCTCTCTCTCTCTCGCTCTTTCTCGCTCGCGACTCTCCTCTCTCGCCTCTCTCTCCTCTCGTCTTGAGGGAGAGAGCGCTCTCTCTCGTCGATCTCGGCTCAGCGAGGGAAATCAATACCATGCTGTTGGACCAACTGGGGCGGTGTTGGAATGCTTCCATGCACGTTTACATAAACATGTGTGCCCTTTTTCAAGCTAGACTGGAGGCGATGCAACCGAAGGAGACAAAATACCCGCTTGACTTCAGAGCGCGGAATATTTTCGTAAAAACAGGCAAACGCCGGCGGATATGCAGTTAGATGACCTTCGACGAGGTAGTAAGCTTCTAGCTTGTCGAAGGTGGTGTTATGCAGGTAGCACAGGAAGTGATCAGTTCCGGTCGTGGTTGCAGCGCTTCTTCTTGTTGTTGTTGTGGTGGTGGTGGTGGTACAGATTGGATCAGATTGGTACAGTATGTATTGCTTGTTGCTGCAGCACTGCAGCTGCTGCTGCTGTTGCTGCTGCTGCCACCGCCGCTTCTGCGGCAGTATTGATCGCTGTTATTGTCATCCTTATTATTAATATTCACTCGTCATCCTTGCTGCTGCGATTTTTTGATACTTGATGTGGTTTTGGATGTAGTCGTGTAGTCAAGGCAGTCAGATGTTTGTTCATGTCAATTTACTTTGCACGGTAGTTCGGCGTAGTTTGGTAGTTTTTTGCCATTGTCCGTTGTCATCAATATCATCACTCAGAGTGCTACTGAACTGGCTATCGAACAGTATTTGGATGTATAGTATTTGGTGTTTTTTGCCTTTGTCACACATTTTAAGGTTTGCGGCTTTGAAGTCTTTTCAGAGCAGCAGCTCCTAGTGCTGAATGATCCCACAAAGGTGGCCGCCTCAGAGGGGTTCTACACTTGTGCAATTAGCGCACTAATTCAATTTTGGGTACGATTTTGGACTCATACGTTTTTTATTGTTTTTTTGGTGGGTTTCTCACATGTCAAGTCAGGTCGTGGATTTCAACAACACCGAGTCTGGCTCGACCCACGTTGATGATTATTGGGTCCAAATCCAAGTCTGCTGCCACACTGACTTGACAGACTTGACATCTCTTGGTATTCGGGCTATGTTTGGCGACCAGTGCAAGATTGATCTTTTATTGTCTTCACTTTTGGTGAGCCTAAATATGAAAAAATGCAGCATGAAGACGTACCTGCGAGTCAGAGAGGGACAGAGAGGGAGAGAGAGAGAGAGAGAGAGAGAGCGGTTGCGACATTGGAGCACCGCAGGCCAGGATAGACCTGACTTACAGCCCGCTGGAAGGCACGTAAGTCTCGCCACTAAATAGCATTCTGTTCCCATCTATCTATCATTCATCCTTGGAGACCAGGACTGTTGGGGGTTCATCACGGATCATTTTTTCTGGTGCCCACAAGACTGTTTCAGTACGTAGGCTGGAGTTTGTCAAGACACGTCCGAATTGGATGTTTCTTGGTGCAGTGGGCCGCAGCCTAAGCGAAACAAGCGATCCACATTCTTTGTCGGAAGCAGTTGGAATGAGTAGGGGGTGCGTTCTCCATATTTGTTTCAAGACTTGCAAAGAATTATGCCAAAGGAGAGTCCTCTGGCCTATGCAGAACGTGGCCAGCTTAGCGATCCTCAGAAGTGGGTAGGATGCTTGAAGCAAAATCAGAATTGCCATGGCAGGGGCTGAGAGACTAAGAATACTAAGAGAAATCGACTATTGAAACTGATGCAGAGCTGCTGTAAACAAGTCTCAAGAAACAGCACTCGATCTTAGGCATAAGCGAGACCATCACTGCCACTGAGTGTGTACAGTTCTGCAACAAAACGCAGGCAGACAGCTGGTTCTGGGTTTGAACATTTCTTCAGAGCACACTGCGCCCAGATGTGACTGGTCTTGCTTGCAGGCCTATCTTCAATTGCCCAGCTGTCGCTGTGCTTTAGACGAGGCTTTATTGCCCATGACAGAGGCTGGATGCCAACGCAGATCAACTTATGCCGACCTCAAAATTCTTCGTTTGTGCTGTGTCTGCGAGATTTGTTGAGGTCCTCGGGCAATGTGGCTCAAATTCATGGGAGGCAGGATCAGCATCTTGGCACTTTGTACAGTGAAGTTGAAGCTGGTAAGATCAGGTTTTCCGAGAGTACGACTACAGATCTTCTATGTCGTCAGGCTCTTAAATTCACTTGAAAGGCAGTAGCTGTGGTTTCGCCAGAAATTTGCACCAAGCAAAGTGACACCAAGTGACACCAAAGATCACCAAAGGCCCTCTACCTATGATGTTGCACGGCGTCTTCTTTATTCTATTGTCACAGCTCGTCACTCAGAGTAGCTCTTTCGAGGCACTTTACTTGTGTTTGAGAATTGTGTCAGAAAGAGTCGGTGAATCGAGTCTTTGCATCCAGTGTACATCCTAGATGATCTCTTTTTGCCACCACATGTTATAGTCACAGTGGAGTCACAGGTGCGCTTGCCAGCTCCGGCTGATCCTTCAATCAGGCGTGCTCACGCTGTGACTTCCTGCGTGGCAATGATAAACTTGTGATTGATTTTGCAATATTGATCTATATCGATCTATATCCAAAGTGATGGGTACATGTGAAATGACCGAGGAACTATATCCATGCCGTGAATGCTTTGGAGGCGCTGCACGGCTTCCACATTTCACTTCACTTAGTAACTTGCAGTTCTGACTCTGCAGTGACTGTAGCATGCTCGTTGCAGTCGCGACCGGAATTTGATTATGACGTTCGGTTAGAGTCTGCACCTGAGCCTTGGCATTGCTTGCGTCAGCACGCGCGTCTGTTACCCTTGCAGCCGCTAGCTGCTGACTGTGGCTCAGTCGTATGCTTTTCAACTCCGTTTGGGACTTTGCGCAGAGCCGCATGGTGCTATCCTCGGGTGCAAGATTCTCAAGACTCAAGATTGTGGTTTCCCAATGTTTGTTTGGCCTGGCCAGAGACTTCCCTGTGTCTTCCCTGTTTGTCAGGTGGCTTTGTCTCTTTCAAATTGGGGTGGCACCCTGGACTTCAGTGTCGTACCTCGGCTGCGTTTGCTGGAGTTTTGCAAGTATATACCACTTGTAACAAGAAGGATTCAGAAGGCTTAAAGTTGGCTTCTCCGCAGTGTCTTGTCATAGCAATGCCCGACCACAGGTCAGCTACAATTCCAGTCCAGATCTCATGGATCCAGCGGCGGGTTTAAGTTGTGTGACCTTGGGCAAGACTGATTAGGGGACCAGTGTGGATAAGATAGGACGAACATGGCCGAACCAAAAAGGCAAACAATGCCGATACATCATGAAACATCAAGATATACACACACATATATATATATATATCTCTCTCTCTCTCTATCGATAGTTAAGGGAGACATAGGAAAGGCGTGAATTGAGATGTTGGATGACGTTCTCCCATGTTCATCCTTTTTTCCGGATGATGAAGATGCGTCGTTGGCATCATGGCATCATTGTTATTCGCTTAAGTCGCTCACCCTTTGCTAATTGAACAAATCATAACAAATCCATCCACAGGATGACTTTTTGAGTTGTTTTGGGGAAGTGCCGGCAACAAGGCTCCGGCACACTTCAAGTCAGCCAGAGCCACTTCCCCATAGAGGACAGCAACATAGCATAGAGGGCAGTTATGCATGGTGGGATGTGGTGGGTAAAGTATGGGATGCCGGGCACTTCCTCGCCTTGCTCAAAGGATGAGATCGTTGCCTCTGGAGATCTAGTGCGTGACGGCATGGCAGCTGCCTTGATAGTGTCCGGATAGTGTATGCATGTGTCCTCTGCATGAGGGTTGCTGAAAACGTGGATCATGTCTTGTGCGGTGGCATTTTCATAAGCATGCATCATACTCATGATCATATATTTATTATCATATGTTATCATATATGGTCATATATTATCATATACGGTCATATATTATCATATATTATCATGTATTATCATATATTACCATATGATATCATATGATATCATCAGCACTAGCGTTTTCAGATGCTTTTAGGCTTCTGCAGAGGGCCTTGGCACTGTAGACATCCTGTTCGGTACCTACTACACAGCCGCAACCTCAGGGGCATCCAAGCTCACACTGGCCTTGCCAAGACTTGCGACATAAACACAATGGTAGTGCACGCGGGTGCACGGACATGCACGGACGATTTTGCTCCCAGGTTGTCCCAGCAACAATTGAAGGCTCCACACAGGCTCGAAATTTGCAGTCTTGAGACCTAGTTCGGTCACCGAGTTGAGAGGTTGTCTTTCCGCCCTGCAGCTGAGAGGTTGTCCATATCATCCTGGCCATCGATATTGACATGAGGCGCGTCATCACTAGTGCGCTCCTCAGATTTGCTTTTCCAAGGCATGAAACTGGGTGTCCGCTTTTGGCTTTCATGGAGTTTATATGGATTTATTGTGCACGATGTTGATAAATGTTATATAGAACATAGATGATTATAGATGGCATGTGCGGCGTAAGCTGTTTCATTTCTTTGGGACCTGCCACGAACTTCGACTCAAGGTGTGCGCCTGCCAGTGACACTGGTTAACATCCAGATCAACTCGCTGAACCATGAACTCTATGGAGCAGGCGTCCAAGCTGCCGTTAGCTGTTCGGACTTCACAGATGATGCCCTCTCTACAAGTTGCTTCGTCAGCTTTATAAATTTGGTTCCGTTGTTGGAATGCTTTGATGATCTTGAGGCTGGTCCAGTTTCTATGTTTCAACTCGGTTCCATTGGGATTGTAATTCTTCAATCCCTCTTGTTCATAGACATGACATTTCACTCATGGACATTTAATGACACATTGGCCGCGGCTCGTGCTCTCGGGAGGTGCTGACTACTTAAGCGGACAATACGCCTACTATCACATTTGCAGGGTCCCAAGTGGCTTGCACGTAGCGACGCTGTAGAAGTCTGCATGGAGCAGTTGCAAATGGAGCAGTTGGACGTTGTATATCCTGTATATATCTGTATATCTGTATTGAGAATACAATCGAATACTTGGCTCCGCATGCTCCGCCCGAGGCACCTCGGAGAATCTGACCCAGACGGTGAACAATGTCACAACCAGACAGATCTTAGTAGGTGCCGACCTTGCGGCACAGGATGGACTTGGAAAATCTTGGAAAGTGCTTTCAGATCTTTCAAGTATTTTTGACGCTTTCCTGCGACGGGATTCACTGTGAGCCATACGTACTTTGAAAGAGAAATTACTTCCCCCGACTAGGCTTCTTCCATATAGGTTTGGTATGCTTTAATGCCCTAGCTTTATCGCTCTTTGCCTCGCAATCAAACAAGAAGGAGAGCGGGGCCTAGATACATGGGTTTGGCGGCATTCAGTTCAATAGCAGCCAGCCTTACTATGCCTAGCTTTATTGGCACTTGAAACTTGAAACCTGTTACTCCGCTCAAAGATCGAGGGCATAGTTTGCCACCGTCAAATTTGGCACGGGATCTGTTCATTGATTTCCGAGACAAGTGTGGTCCGGCGCGTTGCCCTCCGCAGACTGCACACTTACGGAGCTTGGAGAGCTTCCAGCAGAGGCACCACAAGTCGTCAAGCATGTTGATCATGTTGTCAGTTTGTAGCAATCGCTTTGCTTTGAAGGTACCTCGGAAATCCTTAAGACGCCTCAAGCTAGCCTGCTCGGTGTCAGGTGAACCACCTGTACTTCCAATCAGCTGCAATTGACCATCAGACCAACTACGCTCAGCTCTTAGATGCTGCAGGGTGCCAGCACAATCTGGTTTGCCGGACTTGAACATCAACACTAAAATGCACAAGCAGTCAACGTCAGTCAACCATGAACTCCCTTAAATACGGGACAGAAGCTGTGGATTCTGATTCAACCCTTCGCTCCTTGATACTCAGGCATGGTTCACCTATAAGGAGGCTTCGGCAACTGGCCGTCCGCGTATCTTGGAGTACCACCAGACCAGTGCCGAACCGAGCTATCGAAGCTGACGTCCTTCACAGCTCAGCAAGTTGGCCGTTCAGCCTGCACGCAGTGCCGATGCAATGGTAAGGCAGAGACTATGTTGTTTGGCCCCAGGACCACTAATTCATCCGGATTTAGACTCTTTTTTTTTCAGAACAGGCCACTGTGGGAGTGCGCAAATTGCAGCATTTCCTGTGCAAAGATCCAACAGCATATGGCGCAACCGGACAAAATTGAATTCCATTCCTCTCTGCTGTTCATTGGCTGAATGCACTATGTCATAGCAAACATTGCTGTACTGTAGTGTATCGACCTTGCTTCTAGTGCAACCAATGACAGTGCCTGGCAATCTCTGCTTAGCACATCTGCAATGGCTATCCACACACAAACCAAAAAACAAAAAAACCAAAAAAACAAAAAACAAAAAAAACCAAAAAAACCAAAAAGACAAGACCCAACACTCTGCATCTGACCCCCTCCCCTTGGGGTGTGCAATCTTGTTTTTTTTTTTGTTTTTTTGATTTTTTGTTTTTTTTGGTTTCTTGGTTTTTTGGTTTTTTGGTTTGTGTGTGGATAGCCCAGACCTTGCCCATGGGTCTGAACTTTTTTTTTTTGTTTTCTCGAGGTTTTGGCCAAACTGCAAAAAACAATGGAAAAACCAAAAAAAACAAAAAAAACAAAAAGTTCAGACCCATGTCCCCTGCCAGGCCTCTCCCCAGACCTTGCCCATGGGTCTGAACTTTTTTTTTTCCATTGTTGTTTTGCATGTTTTTCATGTGAAGATGCTTTCATTCATCACAGTACCTCTCAAAAAAATGCGCGTCTCTACAATTTGCACGCCTGCGCCCCCCAGGCCAAACTGCAAAAAAAAAACCATGGAAAAACCAAAATTCATTTAATGACTTATACAATGACTAATGTTATGATTAATATAATGATTAATGTAATGACTTATGTATTCATGAATATAATGACTAATAAAATGATTAATAACATGATTAATAAAATGATCAATATCATGATTAATACAATGATTAATTTAATGATTATTAGAATAAAGAATTTAATGATTAATATCATGATTATTATCATGATTCATATAATGATTAATGTAATGGTTAATAAAATTCCTAATGCAATGACTAATATAATTATTACAATGGTTAATATAATGACTGATATAATGATAAATATAATGATTCATTTAATGATTCATTTAATGACGTTTATAATGACTAAAAAAATGATTAATATAATGATTAATATACTGATTTATGTAATGGCTGGTATAATTATTATTTTTTGACTAACATAATGATTAATATCATGGTTCATAGAATGATAAATATAATGATTAATATAATGATTCATTTAATGATAAATATAGTGATTCATTTCATGATTCATTTAATGACTTTCATAAGGACTAGTATCATGATTATATTTATATAATGACTAATATAATGATTAATATTATGATGAATACAATGGTTAATATCATGAGTAAAATACTGACTAATTTAATGAGTTTATATATAATGAGTAATGTACTGATTAAACCAATGATTCATATAATGGTTGATATAATGATTAATTTAATGGCTAATATAATGATAAATAAAATGGCTAATATAATGAATGTTATAGTGATTAGCATAATGATTAATATAATGATTAATATACTGATTAATACAATGATTAATATCATAATTCATAAAATGACTAATAAAATGATCAATATATAAAATGATCAATACCATGATTAATATAATGATTAATATAATGATTAATTTAATGATTATTAGAATAAAGAATTTAATGATTAATATAATGATTATTATCATGATTCATATAATGATTAATGTAATGGTTAATATAATGCCTAATGCAATGACTAATATAATTAATATAATAATTAATATAATGATAAATATAATGATTCATTTCATGATTCATTTAATGACTTTTATAATGACTAAGATAATGATTAATATAATGATTTTGTAATGGCTGATATAAATATTAATTTATTGACTGATATAATTATTAACATAATGATTAAATTAATGACTAATACAATGATTAATAAAATGTGTAATATAATGAATTATATAATGACTGATTTAATGATGATTCATTTAATGATTCATTTAATGATTAATATAATGATTCATATAATGATTCATATAATGATAAATATAATGATGCATTTAATGACTTATATAATGATTAATATAATGACTAATATAATGATTAATATAATGATTAATGTAATGACTGCATGGAAAAAAGTGCACTCCCACAGCGGCCAGCTCTCTTTTTTTTCCTCATCATTTTTTGGATTCAGAGCCAAGCAACAAACATGTGCACAAGGAATTTGGGTACATTTTCTTGTCCATGTCTTTTTCGCGAAATGGATCAGAAGCAATCTGTACACTGTATATTTATGACAGGGAGGGTGTTGCTGTTGCTGTAGCTGCATGAAGGAGAGCCTGCCAGAGAATGCAGTCTTCTCCTCACTGATCCAAACAGCCCCAAGGACATTTGTTATTAGTTATTAGATTACACTGTTTGAAATCTGTACTTTCAGGCTTTGACTCTTGAATTTAAATACCATCATGTCCTTGACAGGATCATCTTCACTCTCTTTCCTCCTCGTTTGCTCTATGCAAGGCTGCGAGCCATGTTTTGTGATGAATTCGTCATGTGGTGCTCCCAAACTGCGCCAGATTCAACACGGCTGGAACGAAAATCTTTCTGGCCTTCGACGCGGCGACTTTGCGTTGGAAGCAAAGATCTGCCTTCATGAAAGTGAACCTACTTGAGATGATCCATGTCTCGTTTCATTTTGGATTGCTCTTCTTACTCCAAGAAAAGAGGATGCATTGCATTTTGCCATAGATTGAGGTGGTGCGATCCCTATTGACACCAATTCGGATGACATTCCGGATTCCTTCAATGAAGCGGACAAGGCCCCCAAGATCTCCCAAGTATCCACGGTCTGAAAAGGTTCACCGTGCACAAAGATGCACAAAGTGTATTGCATAATATTGCATATATCTGTAGTAACACTGTAGGTGAGTTTTCATGTTTGATTTGGTCAGCATTTGCACAAAGATTGCTCGTGTCGCAGTTTAGTGTCTTAAAGTGAGGCGAACTCGGGGTTTCAAAAGTTAACATGGACGTTTGAGACTGAGGGATTGCCGAACCTTTGCTTCACAGACATGGCGTCTCTGTTTCCTCCACCAGTTCTAAACCTTCCTGGCAGGCGACCAGAGCACCGTGCGACCAGTTTATAGACCAGTTCACCATGACTCTGATCCCTGGAAGCATGTCCTGGCCTCAAATGCCGGATCCTTTTGGACCCTTTTAGATCCTTTTAGACAGCCCTCAAACATCCTTAAGCTATCTATACACATCTATACATGGATACCGGATACGGTCACGTAGGCAACATTTGCGCACGCTATTTATTGATGTTTGTCATGCATGCGTGCCGGCCGTGCTGAAGCAACTTTGAGCCTGCCCGATTGGTGATTTGTGAGGTGCCAGTGGACCAGCGATGCTGATTTCTACATTGAGGTTGCCCAGACGCCAATATCCAAGATCAAGAAATATGGATGAATATGGTTTATTGATCCAGCAGCCCATGGACCATGGCCAAAACCTAAACCAAACAGCTGGTCCCAACAAGACTGCATTAGGTCTGTCATTGCTCCTGGAGACTTGGCCCGTATCAAAGCGGGAACGGCGAGACACCCAGATTCTCAATCGAAGATATTGTCCGTGCAATATTCGATTGAGAATTTGGGTGTATTCAGTCACTTTCAGTCCTTGTGTTGCTGAACCAGGTCTATCGGGGCGAGCAGCTTCCATCTGGAGTTCGCAGCCAAGTGGAGTGCAGCGGGATCAGACTGATGACTGGCGACCGATCCAACAATTTTAGATTTTGATGTCTTTGCACCAAGAATGTCCACCGGATGTGATTTTGAGGTGTATCAGTTCTCGCAGCCGTCTTCTGACTTTGTAGTGGCCATGTTCTGAGCGGCCCTGGGAGTGGACTTTGAGTGCACAGATGGCAGCCACTGTCAGCAGCCTGCTTCTCCTTCGGACCTTCAGGGGCCTTGGGGATGTTGCATGATTTTGCTATAGTAGCACTCAGTAGCACTATAATGTTTCTTCAGGTAGAAGCCCCGCTCACAATACCAAATCCCGTCGTGCCTTGGTCGCAAAGGCTCAAATGTGTGGTCACGTGTCGTGCAGTTGCCTCGTTGTGTTTTCCCGCCTTGTTCATCTCAGAACATTCGCTTAGATCAGGCTGAAATTGGCGGCATGACGTTCATCGATGTGTCGCTCGCTTATGGACGTTGAAAGCACCCGAACAGGTGTTGTGGACAGTGGACAAGGCCACAAGACATCTATATAAATATAATATAGTTTCGGCATGTTTCGGCATTCGGCATGCTCTGAAGAAAGCATAAGAAAACCAGCTTTTCATCCAAAGTCTGAACAAAGACTACAGAGTATATACTGTGGAGGGCTTTGAATAAGGAGTCTACATGGCTCGCACTATCTGCACTGAAGAGTGAGTCGCAGAATACAAAGTGGTACGTCCTGGTACGTGTTGAAAGTTTGCAAAATCTGGCCAATGGTTTTCGGCCGTGGCCATCAAAACTATACTCCTGGAAGTCCTGTGGTTTCCGTGCAAGCCTGCTAAATCTGTAGGCACCTCTATTGAAGGGGGGTGTGAAAACGGATGAACATACATGTCATGTGAGGACAAACGTGGGACACCAAGGTACTCATGAGCATGGCATGGAAACGTGAAACAACCATTGGTGTGGCATGCATGTGTAGAACATCTATCCACCATGAATGGTGGCTCAAGCACAACGACCAAAAAGGTGCGACCCTGCTTCGTTGCCAGTTGTGGAGCATTTCCACACTGGTAGCGGGAGCCATATGCTCCTTGGGCCTTTGGGGCCTGCAATCTTCGACGGCGCTTGGCGCGCCCTGCTGCGAAGCCTGCTGATGGCTTTACCTTCCGCTACACGAACTTCATCTATGCGGATGACGTGGCAACGAACACTGAGTCCAAAGGTGGTGGCCATCCTCGATATGGTGGTGAGCCCCAGAAGCTGAGCGAGTACAGCTGGCGGGTGAGAGCTAGGATGGCTCGCGAGGCACTGCTACCTGAAGAAGAACAAAAGAAACTGGGCCCCCTAGGACTGAGGTTGGTTGAAGGACAGAAGGATCGAGGTCATAGCCAATGGCCTGCCCTTGTGGGGGGGAAACCAACTCGCAGTGGATACGACCCTCGTATCACCACTGACGCGAGAAGGGGTGCCAAGGCAACGGGGGGGGACCTTCGCCGGGGCAGCTCTGCGGGATGCTTGTCGCAGGAAAGAGCAAACATACCCAGAACTTCTCCGCAGCCGACGCTGCAAATTGGTGGTCTTAGGATTGGAAGTGGGAGGCAGGTGGAGCCAGGAGGCAACCTCCTTCATCAAGCTCCTGGCACAACATAAAGCACGTCAAGCCCCGCCAATCCTCCAACATTCCATCACAACAGCGCTGATAGCCAGATGGTCAGCACTTTTGACACATGCTGCCCAGCAAGCCTTTGCAGCAACCCTGGTTGAAACCCCCCAAGCCCTCGCCAATCACACCAACACCGAAGGCAATGAACCAACTTTCAGCCAACTTCTTGCGGAAGCACCCCCCCCAAACCCCCCAGCCAGCCGGCTCCCACCACAGTAAGCACTTAAGTCCCCAAAAGGGTTTGGATTTATGCCCTCCCTCAAGCATATCTGGAGACTGGCCAGTATAAAACAGTCAGCAGGGAGAGCTGGACCTCATGCGGAAAAAGGTGCGGAGGAAAAAACAAAAAAGGACTTAGTGGTTCTACTTTGAGGATAGCCCAGTTAATTGACACCACAGAATTAGCTGGGGGAAAAGGGTGCTCAAAAGTTGTTGGATAGGTTGAATGAAACCCTGAAGCCGAGAAGGATTCAGGAAGCCCGAGAACTGTATATGGCAGGTGCTCAGCAGAACGGTATGCTCAGCCGTCAACAAGGTGAACCGATGGCCACTTACCTTGTTCGACGTCAGGCTTGGTATGAGACTATGGTGCCTAAGACCCGTACTGTTTACTTTGCAGTTCAAGGGCAACACCAAGATGATGATGATCACTGCTACATGGCCCAGCGCTACAATGCAGTTCCTCCACCAAGCAGTTTGCAAGATGGTTTTGTGACGCTGCAGCTAACACCTGTGACGACACCAGCTCCTACGCCTGACAGGCGACACATGGATGATCAGCTGGTGCCAGTGACTCAGGTTTCTGAAGGTGCAGTTTTGACGCAGGACGAGCTGGACAATTTCATGCTGGTCAGCGCACTTGGCGTCTCTGAGACCAGAGATGATGGCCGAGTGATCTACGAAGTGCCTGAGGAGTTGTCTGGCTATGGACTTCCCGCTGGACTTTCTGGAGGTGGACTTCAGGAGTTTCTACATGGACTTCCCCGACTTCCTGAGCCTCTTGGACTTCCTGACCTGATTGGTCAAATGGCTCAAACTCCTGCTCCAGAACTTGCACAAGATCTACCGTAACCTGCAGCTGCACCGAAGGCATTTCACCGATGCCCAATGGACCGCCTGGAGATGATCCTCCACGTCCTGATGCTCCTCTTTGTGAGCATTTGCGCACAACCAGAAGTGGCACCAACGCCTACTACAACATGCTGCGATGCTTGGATTGTGGCCATGTGCTTCAACGTGAACGACGCACTGCCACGACCACAACTGCAACTCCGAAGGCTGCTGGATCCGTTGGAAGTGTCTTCAACCCCAAGAATGTGGGCTGTCCACATCACTCAGTCTCTTGGACTGGCACCAACGCTATCCAACGCTTTCCGTTGGCGACGAACCTGCTGGAACTGTTGCTGGCTCAGAGAGACACAGATCGACTTCAACCTCTGGCCATGGACTTTCGGCCTCGAGCACTGGTCATGGACTTCCTGCTCAGGCGCCTGGATTTAGCTTGCAGCGACCAGTGCGAATCTCTTCCTTTCCGATGCTCATTCAGGTGATCCAACATGCCCTGAATGCCAAGAGAGCCAGCATGCCACAAGCTGATTTTGTCAGTTCAGCCGAGCTTCACATGTTGCTGGACTATGCCATTGGGGTCACATCGGTCTATGAGCTTGAGACTGGCCAGACCACTTTGGATTTACGTGGTGCTGCCCAGTCATCCATGACCTCTACGGCAACGGCACCTGTGCCTGGAACCTCTGCGAGCTCTTCCCATCAGAACCTTCTGAGATCTCCTGCCTCTCAAGCTGAACATCTTGAGGACCGGACAACAACGTGTCAACTTTGGCAAGTTCAAGGGCCAGACGTTCTATCAAGCTTGGTGTGACCGCAGCTATGTCGATTGGGCTTTGGAGGAGGAAGACAACACCAAGCGATCTGGCAAGACGATGGGTAGTGGCCTGAAGCAACTTTGCCACTACTTCCGAGAGATGCATCGTGGCCCTTCTCCTGCTCCTTCGGCTACTGGATTTATGGCCATGAAGGAGACTTTTGGTTCTGAAGATGACCTTATTGCCATCCTCGACACTGGATGCAATGCCACATGTTATGGCAGCCATTGGTATGAGAAGTTTGTGAAGGCAACTGGCTGTCCTGAGGTCACTTTGGGCAACTGCGCTGGTTCCAAGATGAAAAGGCATCGGTGGCAATCTGCAAGTTGGCGGCAAGAGACTTCTTGAAGTTTGCTTTGAACTGAGCTGTGGAAGTTTTGCACGAGGCACTTTGCCTTCTCTGGAGCTCATGGACTCTCAAGCTCCACTTCTGCTCAGCCTTGAGTCTCAGCGCCAACTTGGTTTCCAGATTGACATCGTCAACAACGTTGTCTACAGCACCACCGTCAAGAGCAAGCTGAAGTTGGTTCAACGTGATGGCCTGCTTGCCATCCGGCTGATTCCAAGCTACATCGGCTTGAACTGCACGATCAGCGAAGATGGCCAGGTGTTTCACGACTACCTGGTCATCGAGCCTGGTTCTGAAGAACAAGATCTTCAACAAGATCTACAACAACCTGACCATGAACATGGCACGAAGGCCAACCACGATGATGATGATGATGATGATGATGAATGGAATGAAGATGGTGAGGTTCATCTGGCTGTCGACGAGCTCAAGATGACCACTCTCACCAAAGGTCAGAAGAAGCAGCTCTCCCAGACCATCAACGAGGTCAAGGACAAGGACAGCCATCTTTGGAATTGTCTGCGATCGACCAAGGGCCTGAGCCGACAGCCCCGAATTTTGCCTCGAGGATGCCGCACCTTCCTGCTGGAGATTTTTGCCGGTGCAGAGATTGGTCTTTCTGTTTCACAGCCTGTTGATGTTACGTACAATGGCATCAACTTGAAGAACAAGCACCATCGAGACCTCATCGATCAACAGATCGAACGTGATGATCCCTACTGCATCAGCCTGTCTCCAACCTGCGGACCATGGTCTCCTTGGCAACACATAAACATGGCGAAGGACCCTGACTTCGAGATGAAGCGGCATGAAGCCCGCCGTGAATGGCGACCTGTGGTCCAGTGGATGACTCAGCTGATCAGAAAACGGCTGGCGAGAGGACGTCAAGTGATCTTCGAGCAGCCGTGGCCTTCAAAGATGTGGGATCTTCTTTCCATGCAACGTCTTGTACAAGATGCTCCATGCGATGCAGCGACAGGTGAACACCTTGAAGCTCTGCGTTGTGATCAGTGCATGTTTGGTTTGAAAGATGCTGTCAACAACACGCCCCACAAGAAACCAACTGGCATCATGACAGCATCAGCTGGTGTCAAGGAGTTCATTGGTGTCAGATGCTCTGGTGACCATCAACATCAACAACTTGAAGGTTCCAATCGAACTCACCGAGCCCAACAATGGCCCATGGATTTTTGCAAGGCCATGATCACTGGACTTCTACGTGATCTCGAGCTTAGCATGACCAAACTTGCCTTCCCTGCTGAAGCGATGATGGAAGAAAACCCCATGGGCAGTTTGGACATGATTCATGATGCCTCAGACCTGGCACCACCTGGACTTGAGCAACACCGCACTGATGAGATCGAGCTGAAAGGCGAAGAAGATCGCCGAGAACGAGATGATGTAGTTGCTGAAGATGATGCTGTGAGGAAGCAAGAATGGATGAAGCTTCCCTACTCCCAGCGTGTGGCCGTCAGAAGGCTTCATCAGATGACTGGCCATGCGAGCACTTCAGCTATGGCAAGAATGCTGCGTGTTGCAAGAGCTTCTCCAGAAGTCATCCACCGACTTCGACACTTCAAATGCGAAGCCTGCCTTCAGAACAGAAAGCCTCAGCTTCGACCTGTTGTCAGGCCACCCATCGCTACAGTGTGCTGAGCGTGGTTTGCATGGGAACGCTCTATCACTGTGCTTGGGTGGTGGCAGAAGGCGGAGGTACACCATCAAGTTTGAAGTGCGCTGAAGTTTTTCGAGATGGCTGGCTTCAATTTGGACCTCCAATGATCGAGGAGTTCACAACCGTGGACAATTTGCAGCTTTGATGTCTTCGCAGGGGGCATACCTGCGCTATGCAGGAACAGAGGCGCACCGCCAGATTGGCCGAGCTGAACGGCAAGGCTCCATTCTCAAGGAGATGATTGCCCACACCGTTCAAGGCCGGCATGTTGTTGGTTCTCAGATGATGCGCATGGTGGTGACAGAATGTGCCAGAGTCAACCATGGCGGCTTTTCACCAAGCCAATGGGTCTTGGGACGTTTGCCTGAAGAAGTTTGCAGTTTGACAGCTGAACGTTCTGAAGGTGAGCTGCGTGTACATCAATAAATTCTTTCTGGTGAACATCAGTTTGCACAGCAGCTCAACATACGTCAAGCAGCCAAGGAGTCCTTTGCCCATGTTGACTCCAGCAACCGGGTTCGATCGGCATTGATGAGACGCTCAACACCATTCCGTGGACCCTACTTTCCTGGTGATTTGCTTTCTTCTTCAGAAACAAGAAATGGTTTGGCCCTGCCAGGATGATTGGCAGAGAAGGACGCTCCAACCTTTGGCTGATCCATGGCGGCATTCCCATTGTCGTCGCTGAAGAAAGTGTCCGACCTGCCTTGGCCGGAGAAGTACTTGCCAAGCAAATCACTGAACTGCGCCCCTCCAGAAAGCCCAAAAGACAGATCACTCAGGACTTTGACCCTGATCTGCCCTTCTTTGATGACTTGAACGTTCCGGAGGATGATACTGGACATGATGGTGACGATGGCTCTGGATCCGGTCCTGGATCCTACTTTCACTTGGGCCGTGGTGGTGGTGATGGACTTCCTCCTGGACTTTCCTCTGACCAACCTCCACCAGTTGGGTCTCAACCTGCCCAACCTGAGCCTTTGCCTGATGATGCCAACGAGTACTCGCCTGGTACTCCTGCTGCTGAGGAGGACACTACCATGCAGCTTGAGGCTTTACCTGATGGACTTTATCCAGATGGTGTTACACAACCGCCTCCTGGACTTGAGGCTTCACCATCTGAGTCGCCTGGACTCGCGACTGAGCTGCCTGGATTTGCAGCCATGCCTCCACCGTTGCATCCTCCAACAGTTGGCATCAACACTGACCTTCCTGCAGTGCCCTGTGATGATTTTGATGAACTGATGCAGGAATCTATGTCACCTGATCAACCTCAACAACAAGAAGCTGAAACACGTGGTCGCTTGCCCACTGTTTCCGAGGTTGAGCCTGACCAGGAGATGGTTCCCGACACTCCTGCTGTCAACACACCAGCTCCAAATACACCTCGTGAGCCGACCATGACTCAACTTCAAGAGGCCATGAGACGATCTGTCAACGCTCTTGATGGATATCCCAAACGCAACCGCTCCAGGTCACCTCCAAGAGCGATGTTTTCCACTCAGAACGAGAAGCAGAAGCAGCAAGGCTCCACTTTGCATGGATTCATGGGACAACGTGCGCCCAAGAAGAACATCCAAAGAAAGCTTGAAAAGGAGCTCAGCTACAACCGTGCTGCTGATGACCTCAAGGGCCGAATTGACCAAGCCCGCACGAAGGAGTGGAACAACTGGCTTGGATTTGATGCCTGCGAAGTGATCCCCCCAGAGAAAGCCCAACAGTTTTTGCAAAAAGAATCCTGGAGTTCAAGTTGTTCCAGCGCGATGGGTTGATATCAACAAAGCTCGCCAAGGCGATCCTGAACACCTCAAGTCACGCCTTGTTGTATGTGGCGACCTTGAACGCAGTGCTCAGAATGGTGAAGTTCGCACTGACTCGCCTACGGCAAGTCATTTGACGTTGTCAGTTTTGTTGACATTTGCATCATGCCACAGCCTCATGCTTCACTGTGGCGACATCACTGCAGCCTTCCTTCAAGGTCTTGGACTTGCACGAGTCCTTATCATGTCTCTTCCCAAGATGGTGTTCCAGGAGTTCCTGCTGGAAGTTTGTTGGTTGCAAAGAAACCTGTTTATGGAACAAAAGATGCTCCATGTGGATTTTGGAGATCCCTGCGCTAGACCATGTTAGCAGCTGGTTTTCGCCCTGTTCCACATAAACGTGCTGCCTACGTTTTGAACACACCTGATGGCAAGATCGATGAACTTTGTATTTGTCATGTTGATGATTTGCTTTGGTGTGGTGGTCAATTGACCCAAAATGCCATGAAGTTTGTGCAAGAGAAGTTGAAGTTTGGAAAAGTTGAAGATTCAACCTTCCGGTACTGTGGGCGCACCATTTCCCAGACCGATGAAGGTATTGTGGTTCAGTGTCCTTCATGGACTTGAGAAAACACGTCCTGTGATGATGAGCGCTGGACGCAAGCGCGACCGTGCTGCGCCTGCGACCCCTGAAGAACAAGCTCAACTTCGAAGCGTTCTTGGATCCCTCAACTGGATTGTCCGAGTTTGCCGACCTGACCTTGCCTATGACACCAACCGGCTCCAGACATGCGTCCAGAAGCCTGTGGTTCAGGACCTGATCGATGCCAACTCCCTGCTGAGACGTGCGCAGATGACCAAGGATCAGAAGCTGGTCTATGGGTGGAATCAATTTGACTTCGACAAGCTGGAGATCATTTCGATCACTCCACAAGGTAACTGACTGCAGATCTTTGTTAGATCATTTGCTGCACAGCTCTGGTGGAGAAGTTCAAGACAAAAGGCTGGCGATCGACCTTTGTGGGATGCGCCAAATTGTCTGGCGTGAAAGTGGAGAAGAGTTTGGAGATCCGATGATGAATGAGAGCGTTCCGGCTGATGGGACTACAAAGGTCCGATGGTGCGATACAAAGACCATGTTAGCTGATGGTCTCACAAAGCATATGGACACGACTGAATTGCGAGCAGTCATGTCTGGCCATGAAATCACCATGGAATTCACGTTTCATGCCAAAAGAAAGACGGATGTGAAAACGGATTAACATACATGTCATGCATGTATAGAACATCTATCCACCATGAATGGTGGCTCAAGCACAGCGACCAAAAAGGTGCGACCCTGCTTCGTTGCCAGTTGTGGAGCATTTCCACAGGGGGTGTTCTTGGTGTTTTGTCCTTTGTGGTTACCGGGTTACCGGATACCTGCCAATAGTTGCTAGAGCCGTTAGGTTCACTCTGGTACACTGTAAGTGCTGCTCATTGCAATCAAGACTTCAGATTGGCAACGGAGAGTGATACTGTAGCCATTCCGAATCATTGCACCACAAATGGTTATGAGACGCCAAGGTGCACAGAACTCACGCTGGATGGCACGCAGTCACGGGACCATGGTCAGGGCTCCTATTCAGATTGCGAAAGATTGAGTGCAGCTGCACCTGTACCTCTTGCACAATTTGTTCCAGGATGTTCCATGCATTTCCTCCATTGCTTTGCATCAATTTGCTCATTTGTGCCCTACATTGGTTCCACCTAAGGCTTTAGAGGATCCTTCACATGGGCATTGGTCCCCACCATCCCCGAGCAGCAGCGAGCTAAGATGAACTCAAGCGATGTCAAGGGACCTCGGGGAAACCAAATCGCTCGGATCGCCAGGCCTGAGCCGCACCTGCGTCAGCTGGAAACAATCATCGATGATGCCATGGCTGCAGCACTTCCAGCCAAAGTCTCAGGGTAAAGATTTCTTACGATTTTTTTAAACGGATTTCTCTAAACATCTTTGAACATCTTTAAACTTTATAATTTATAATATACATCTTTACACCAAACTCTTTAAACTATGGAGATCCTTTGAGATACTTGGAGTCGTTTCCTTCGAACCGGGATTGCCAATTACGAAGTGCTAGTCCTGTGTGAGTTGTTTGCATGATTTTGGTGTGGTGATGGGCAGAGTTCCTTTTGGATCCTTTTGGCGGCACAATGGTGTCATTGCCGTCGTCTTGTTACTTTTCTTTCAGCCAGGGCTGAAAGTTCCTAATTGTTGCACAAATCTTCGTGATTCTTCGTGCCTAGCATCCTAGGACTTACCAGCTACAGATCAATCCAATTCTTGCTGCAGGTTGCTGCCCAAGTCCTGCGGATTCCCTCGTATACGATGCAGGAAAACACGCTGTGCGCCTGCAAGACGTTTATGCGACAAATTGAAACAAATTGCACATGCATTTCATGCGGGAATTGTTGACCGTGCCACAGCCAGCAAGTGTGTTACTTGCAGGTACAACTTCTCATTGACCGCTGCAACCTCAGACGATTTTAAAGGAACAGTACTATACGGCACGCGCACACACACACACATTGCATCATATTGCACACACCCACACATAAACCCTACACACACGGACTTTTATAGATTATAGATATAATAACATCAGTATAATTCAGTATATATATATATATATAATAGAATGGGCTAGCGCCCTGGTGCCGCCGACCCCCCTATTTGGGGCATACGCTTTGGCAGAGTTTTAACGGTTTTAAGCGTTTTGATGTGGCCTTGGGGTGCCTGTTGGCGTGGACCGCGCTTAGAAGAAGCGATGGATCTGGCCTTGGGGTAGCTTGTGCCTGCGTGGTTGGGCGTCCCATACGCTTTGGCAGAGTTTTAACGGTTTTAAGCGTTTTAGGCGTTTTAGGGGTTTTAGGCGTTTTAAGGGTTTAGGGGCTGGCAAACGGCAGGCTTGGACGCCCATAAGAAGCCATTGATGTGGCCTTGGGGTGCCTGTTGGCGTGGACCGCGCTTAGAAGAAGCGATGGATCTGGCCTTGGGGTAGCTTGTGCCTGCGCGGTTGGGCGTCCCATACGCTTTGGCAGAGTTTTAGCGGTTTTAAGCGTTTTAGGCGTTTTAGGGGTTTTAGGCGTTTTAAGGGTTTAGGGGCTGGCAAACGGCAGGCTTGGACGCCCATAAGAAGCCTAAGAAGCCATTGATGTGGCCTTGGGGTGCCTGGGCGTGGACCGCGCTTAGAAGAAGCGATGGATCTGGCCTTGGGGTAGCTTGTGCCTGCGCGGTTGGGCGTCCCATACGCTGTGGCAGAGTTTTAACGGTTTTAAGGGTTTTAGGCGTTTTCCGGGCCTTCGGCGTTTTAGGGGTTTCCGGGCTGGCAAACGGCAGGCTTGGACGCCCATAAGAAGCCTAAGAAGCCATTGATGTGGCCTTGGGGTGCCTGTTGGCGTGGACCGCGCTTAGAAGAAGCGATGGATCTGGCATTGGGGTAGCTTGTGCCTGCGCTGTTGGGCGTCCCAGACGCTGTGGCAGAGTTTTAACGGTTTTAAGGGTTTTAGGCGTTTTAGGCGTTTTAGGGGTTTAAGGGCTGGCAAACGACAGGCTTGGACGCCCATAAGAAGCTTAAGAAACCATTGATGTGGCCTTGGGGTGCCTGTTGGCGTGGACCGCGCTTAGAAGAAGCGATGGATCTGGCCTTGGGGTAGCTTGTGCCTGCGCGGTTGGGCGTCCCATACTTGTGCCTGCGCGGTTAGGCGTTCCGAAACGCTTTTGCAAGTTTTAACGCTTTGAAGCGTTTTCGGGGTTTGAGGCGTGTAACGGTTTGAAGCCTTTTAAGCGTTTAAGGCCTGGCACACGGCAGGCTTGGACGCCCATAAGAAGCCATTGATGTGGCCTTGGGATGCCTGTTGCTAAGAAAGACAAGTTCCACACCTGCGGTGGTCCCAGGCGCCGCCCCTGCCTTGCCTAAGGCCGGGGTCGGCGGATATATATATATATATATACACGCGTAAAAACATACATTATAAATTATATGTGTGTTTGCAGTTTGCACAACTTCCTGCTTCTTGCACTTCGTTACTAGGTGCAGTCCTTTTGGGACCCGTCTCTGACTGACACGACATACTTCAGCCTTGACCTTAACTGTGCGAATTGCGCGATGGGAATCGGCAATGGTTTTGATTCTTGTTGCAGTCGTTGCTCGTGTTTGCAAGGTGTTTCTATCTCCGCAGCTCCTGTGCCACCTATGGTAGCGCCCCTAATGTCTTTGCCTGTAGAGAAAGACAGAAACCAAAAGACATTGTAGAAGAGTCAAATGAAGTCACTGGATATCACTGAATACATCTTGAAGATTCTCGAAAGATTCAGTCTTGGACGGAGCCAAAAGCGATTGCCATGGTCCATGAGGAAATCTTTGGCCCATCCACCCGCGAGCAAAAGGTGCACAACATTGCGCAGCTGTCGGACATTGTGACAGTTTGTCAAGTATTCGCACATGATTCACACCATAGTGCTTCATAGCGCTCTACTCTCGTGCTTCCTTTCGCTACCTTGTGTGCCAACAGTGGGAGCTTGCAGGTGGAAGAGCCACTGAGCCTCGTGTCAGAGATTCTCATGGACGGGTTGGGCTCCATGATTGTCACAATCGGGTAATAGTGGAAAACAATCTGCGGCTGCCGTGACTCCTGCCGCGGTGCTGTGATTTGCGGTGTTTTTTTGCCACAAAGGTGTTTGGAGAACTTTGGGAGTGGTAGCTTCGACTATGAGTGGAGAGCATGTAAAAGGCCAGGCAGCCAGGCAGTTCATTTTCCAAGCTTGCGACATGGAAACACATGAGATCCAGAATGATTGGATTTGCCTTGTAGGTCAGAAGCAATCTTGGTGCTGCTGCCCCAGTAGTGCTTTAAAAAATCGGAAACGTTAGTAGATAGCCAGAGTGTCGAGATGTGCTCATAATTGAGGAGGCTGCCTGACTCACATTTTCCAAGGCAGGGAAGTACACTGGGCTGCAATACGTCGGTTTCCCTCAGCTATCTACAGATACAGCTTCACAGATTTATCAAGGACAGTTTAATGGATTTGCGAATGTCTGTGAAGCATTTGGGGGCAAGTTGCGGTTATCCCCCTTTGCTGAGGTGGGGAAGTGGCATAGATCAGACGAAATTTTCCGGGGTGTCATCGCGCTCACTGTATGTGCGCAACTTAGTGGTCGTCTGGTTGTTTGCAGAAGCTCAGAAGTTGACAGAAGTTCCCTCGCTCAATGTGGAGCCAAGGTGCTGCCGTTCGGACTCGACCTACTTGAAACCTACATTTTCACAATGTATGGCCAGGCAAGTTGTGGCATAGCATCCCAAAAACGGCCGTGAAAATCAGCGGCTTTGAACTCTGGAGATGTTTGATGATATTTGGAGGTGACTGTAGCGAATGGCCCCTCCGAATTAACGCTCTCAAATGTGGTGAGCGTCGAGGTTGAAGCAGCACCTTGCCTGCAGTCATTAGATCCTTGAGAATTCTTTAGATACCAGGAGTTTTCCAGGACCTCTGTAAAGATCTGGAACTGGCAGAAAGCTTGCAGGTTCTTGGAAGCATTCATGTGTTCTACTACGGAGGAAATGGCTTTTCAACCAGAAGGTGGGAATTCGCAAAGAAAGCGCACCATGACACTCCCATACATGACATGTTCACACATCTTTCGACAATGTCTAGTACGAGACAGTACGGCAATGACCAGTTGCTATGCATTTCTGATCAGTTTTGCTGTCAGCTTGCCAGTCAATTTATGTCAATTTGAATCAACTTGATATACCAGGGATCGTGAGATTGTGGTGGATTTCTCGCAATCTGTGGATGACTCCGACCCAGCTCCTCGGCACGAATTCGCTTGAGCATCTTGAGCTGTCCTGAATATCCTTGATTTTTCTGGTGAAGTACAGTCATGCCGTCATACATACATATTACATATTTAATCATATTTATTTAATGTTGTTGAATCATTTTTAGTACATTTTGTTACCCTATTCAAATGATTCAATTTTTTGATGCCGAGGCAAATCTCCAGGCGACCATTGCTTGAGCCCAAGTTCGATTCCAACAGTTGCTCAGTTACTTGTGTTTTGAATGCTGCTCTTTGACGATTTGGCGATGTGCATCTCAGACTTACTCCTATGGATGCTTCAAGGAGGGCACTGACCTGAGATGTTAAAGCTCAATACAGACTATAGACATCTACAGATGCCATAACGTATAGCATTTTTTCGGGCAAAGGTTGTCACGAGGCAAATCTGAGTCAAGCAAACTTAATGCAACAAGCATTTTAGCACATCAACGACTGCCCTCACCTTTCTCGAGCCAGAAGATTTCCAAGCTGCCTTGACAAAAGGGCAGAAACAGGATTGGATTGAGTGAGCCTTTTGAATATTTTGAATCCTTTTAATATCTTTTAATCCTTCAGCTGTGGGGCTCAAATCTTTCCGTACTGCCTTGCCGTGGTACAGGCTCGGCGCTGTGAATTGATTCTAGACGTCAGTTGCTACCAACTATTTCAACTTGCTGGTGTCACAGAAGGGCACAGCGCGCCTTGCAGGGTTGCGGAGGGACATGGCAGAGCTGGAGAACGACAGAGCTCCAGTGAAAAAGCGGAAGATCGAGGATGCGTGCTTGTTGAAGCACATCTTCAGTGTTCTCCAAGTTGTGTGTTGTTGAGAGGTATGCAGAATCAACGGCAATAGGCATTCATATTGTGTTCCAACTGTGTGCCACATATTCAACACAGATTCACTACAGATTCACCACAGATTCACCACAGATTCACCACAGATTCACTATAGATCACCACAGATTCACCACAGATTCACCACAGATTCACCACAGATCACCACAGATTCACCACAGATTCACCACAGATTCACCATAGATCACCACAGATTCACCAGATTCACCACAGATCACCACAGATTCACCACAGATTCACCACAGATCACCACAGATCACCACAGATTCACCACAGATTCACCACAGATTCACCATAGATCACCACAGATAAACCACAGATTCACCATAGATTCACCAGATTCACCACAGATCACCACAGATCACCACAGATTCACCACAGATTCACCACAGATTCACCACAGATTCACCACAGATTCACCACAGATCACCACAGATCACCACAGATTCACCACAGATTCACCATAGATCACCACAGATAAACCACAGATTCACCACAGATCACCACAGATCACCACAGATCACCACAGATCACCACAGATTCACCACAGATTCACCACAGATTGACCACAGATTCACCACAGATTCACCACAGATTCACCACAGATTCACCACGGATCACCACAGATTCACCACGGATCACCACAGATTCACCACAGATTCACCACAGATTCACCACAGATCACCACAGATCACCACAGATTCACCACAGATTCACCACAATCAGCACAGATTCACCACAGACACCACAGATTCACCACAGATCACCACCACAGATTCACCACAGACCACAGATTCACCACAGATTTACCACAGATTCACCACAGATCAGATCAGATTCAGATTCACAGATTCACCACAGATTCACCACAGATTCACCACAGATTCACCACAGACCACAGATTTCACCACAGATTCACCACGGATCACCACAGATTCACCACAGATTCACCACAGATTCACCATAGATCACCACAGATAAACCACAGATTCACCATAGATCACCACAGATTCACCACAGATCCACCACAGATCACCACAGATCACCACAGATTCACCACAGATTCACCACAGATCACCACAGATCAGCACAGATTCGCCACAGACACCACAGATTCACCACAGATCACCACAGATCAGCACAGATTCACCACAGATTCACCACAGATTCACCACAGATTCACCACAGATTCAGATCACCACAGATTCACCACAGATTCACCACAGATCACCACAGATCACCACAGATTCACCACAGATTCACCACAGATCACCACAGATCAGCACAGATTCACCACAGACACCACGGATTCACCACAGATTCACGACAGATTCACCACAGATTCACCACAGATTCACCACAGATTCACCACAGATTCACCATAGATCACACCACAGATTCACCACAGATTCACCACAGATTCACCACAGATCACCACAGATTCACCACAGATTCACCACAGATCACCACAGATCAGCACAGATTCACCACAGATTCACCACAGATTCACCACAGATTCACCAGATTCACCACAGATTCACCATAGATCACCACAGATTCACCACAGATTCACCACAGATCACCACAGATCACCACAGATTCACCACAGATTCACCACAGATCACCACAGATCAGCACAGATTCACCACAGATCAGCACAGATTCACCACAGATTCACCACAGATTCACCACAGATTCACCACAGATTCACCACAGATTCACCACAGATTCACCACAGATTCACCACAGATTCACCACAGATTCACCACAGATTCACCACAGATTCACCATAGATCACCACAGATACTTTAATGATGTTACATTTCTGGCAGGATGCCGGGCTGAACGTGGATCACATCCTGGACCAATTGCTGAATGTCCGTAAAAGGTCTGGGAGCCAAGCACAGAGGATTCCTCGTGGCCCCATCAACTGGGCTGGCAATCTTGACGTAATCTGATGATCTGATTTTTTTTTACATTTAATCTTGACTGATGTGAGTAAGCCGCACACTTCGATGAAAGCCAATTGTTCAACTGCCGCAGGCCGCCCATGAACCAGACAGTTCGGATTGACGAGGACACCTCACAGCTCACGCAGTGTAGTTGACGCGAATCAATGCTTCAAGAGAGGCACAGGCATTAGACTGTTAGACAGAATCACTTCTTCAAATACCGAGAACTTTTTTTTTGGTGCGCCTTGGGAGGAAGTTGTCACGAATTTGTGCAGGGTAGCACTGAACATCTTCAGCAATCAGCCCATGCTTCTGGAACTGGAAGCCTTTCGCCTAGTTTGTTTGGACAAATTTGGACACCTGTGAGAGGGATAGCAACATAGGAGAAGACACGAGAAAAGTGAGCGGGTTCCCAGCTGTCCTGAGCTTTAGCATCTCCTGTGTCACTGAGTCTCCTTTGAACCTTTGTGGGGATATCCATGGCCAGCACTGACCTTAGCGATTCTTTGCAACATTGCAGCTCAATTCTGATCAAAGATGCGCTTGGCAGGACGAATAGGGAGACAAATTCTGTCAGGTTTCATGACCTGCTTCGAATCTTTGATGCTAGAGGATATCCTCCACAGGCGCTTGATGGACTCTATATTAGACTTATTAGACTCTATGGACTCTGTAGGTAGTTGATGGTATGCTGTGAGCTTCGGAGCTCTTCTTTCTCATTCTTTCTCATTCTTTCTCATTCTTTCTCATTCTTTCACATATCTTGCGCTTTGGCCAGGAAAACTATTTGTTCTTGGGGGACTATGTTGACAGAGGGAAGAGAAGCCTGGAGACAATTTGCCTTCTTTTTGCCTACAAGGCCGTTCCTATGTGCTCCTTTACAGTACCTTTTCTTGCCAAATGTTGACTTGAATGGTTTGAATGCTGAATCCATCGCCACTCCCCAAACCTGAAGAAATACTCGCAAATCATGGTGTAAAGATACATGAGCCTTTTTTCTTGAGACCATTGCAGCTTGTCCTTGGCATGTCAGTCATGTCAGGTCAAGTATCCAGAGAACTTCTTTCTCTTGCGGGGCAACCATGAGGCACCTTCAATTTGCAGGACGTGTTGGCACGGAGTTTGAGTCA